CTGAAGAGCTTATTTACGTGTTTTAAAGTTTATTTAGATTTTCTGCATGGGCATATGCTTGTGTCTGTCAGCATTTATTCATAAAGAGCAGATAGGATCCTTGAATTGATTTTGTAAAATCTGGCATTCAGTGCCTGCCCTTCCAAATGTTGTTGTGCCTCCATTCCCATGAATCCTAGGAAGCATGAATATAAATATAATCTTTAATGAAAATACGGATCCCAAGTAGTTTAATTGTTATCGTAAGATCATTGGAGCCTACATTTCTTGGTAGTGTTACTATATTAAGTTCTGGTAACTTGAACAAAGCTTTGTTTATTAATTCAAGTTAAATCCAGTAAAATTGCTTTGTCTCCCTGCTATTCTAGATTCAGGGAAGAATGTTCAACTGTTTGTAACTGCAGAGTATCATAAACAAAGTTATCTGATTTGTTTTAAATTTGCACGGTAATTGTACTTCTGTTCAGCTGCTGACAAGTGTGAGGTTTGTATGGTTTTCAATTTTTGTGCAAGTATAGGGGTATTTATGGGTGAAACTGGGGAATAAAATGTGTTTGTAGTGGAAAACTACTTGCAAATTTTTTCCCTGTGTGGAAGGAGTACTGCTGCTCTGTGATAATGAGAAAGTTGTAGCTATTTTAAGACTATGGTGGGGTATGTTTTTGAATTGTTCATGGCAATATTACTTTGGGAGGTTGCCAGAAGCTGCTTCTACAATTTGACAGAAAAATAAATAATGTTATAAAAGGAAATATTTCATGTTCATTTTAAATGCTTTTGAAAACTTGTTTGCTCTTTTGATATAGAGGAGTCCACTTCTTTAAGGGTGTGTCCTGGTTTCATGGATACTTTTAAACAGAACTTAATTTTGTCTGTTCCCTGAAGATCGCAGAAGCACAGAGTAATTCAGGTTGGAAGGGACCTCAGGAGGCCTCTAGTTCAACCCCTTGTTCGAAGAAGCATCAAACTCAGTTGCTCAAAGCTTTATTCAGTTGGGTTTTAAAAACCTCTGAGCATGGAGGCTGCAACCTCCCTGAGCCCTGTTCTCACTGCCTGACTGCCCTTACGGTGCAAAAGTAGGGTTTTTTCCCTTAAATCAAGCTGGAATCTAGTTTGTTTTGGTTTCTGTTGTGTCAGGTCCTCTCATCACTCACCACTCTGAGGACTCTGGCTCTGTCTTCTCCGTAACCATCTCAGAGGTACTGGTGGGTGGCTGTGAGGTCCCAGTGAAGTTCTCTCTTCAGGCTGAACGACTCCCAGCACCCTTGGCCTCTCATTATGGGGCAGGTGCTCCAGGGCCTGGTCCTTTTGGTGACCCTCTGCTGAACTCGCTGCAGTTCATCAATACCTGTCCTGTACCAGGATCCAGAAGTGGACACTGTTCTAAATGCTGTCTAATGGGTGTTTTATAATGTAAAGTTTAATTACTTGACCATAGTTTACATATAGAAATCAAGGAAATGTGGGTGGTTATAAATGTGTTTATTAGTATTTGGGGTTTTAAAGTGTGATTTTTATTTCAAAGCAAAATTTAGGTAGCATTAAAAAGAATTCTTCCACTTAGATACTGATGAAATACCTTGCATTAATTTTAGTGAAAATGTTTGATGGATTTAAAAAAAAATAAAATCTGTCAACACCTTACCTTCAGTACGCGTTTATTCAACTTAATTAGCTCTGAATAAGTCTAATTTGCATCATTAAAGTGTTGGAAATAGAGTAGCTGGTTGTAATTCTATAATGAAATATTCTATAGAAATTGAAGTCAGTGAGTGAATTCATTCTTACCATGAAATGGGTTTAAAGAAATCAGTCTCATGGAGAGCTGGGTGAATTTTACACGACATAAACTTACACACACATAAACACGCACACAAAGGGCTGCGGCAAGAGCTGCGCAGACATCTTGTTGGTTTGAACTGGCCTAGTGGGGTGGCAGCGTGGGGGGCAGACGAGCTCTGTGTCTGTCCTGCAGCGTTCTACGAAGAGAAATTTTTTCTGAGACTCTGAAAGGATCTCTGCTTATTCCTTTTAACTTTTCCAAACCTCAGTGTAAATTATAGCCAGTGTTCTGGAGTCAGATGGTTATTTCAGAATCGTAACTCACCTCATGTGGTGCGACAGTTCAGGCAAAACTTAGTGAATGTGCAGTAAAGGAGGAAATCATACACAGAGCAAAGGAGGAAACGGAAGGCTTTTAAAACACTTTGTACGTTCCCTGTGTGAGCAGCAGGAGTACGCTACGATTGCAGACAGTAGTGAAAGGCGTAAGGAATGTCCAAATGAGCTTATAATCTTATGAGTTTAGGCAGTGGGTTCGCATCGAGGTGAGTGTCCGGGATCTTGGGTGGGGTCGTGTGACCTCTGCTGAAGCTTGTCTTGCTGTGGCTTTGCTGGTGGAGTAGCTGCGGTTGCAGCATCAACAGCTAGCTTGGGTTTGCCCGTACCTGCTGCAGTCAAAATTTCCGTCTTGCAGTGTAGATCTATTCAGGGTTGCCACGTCTTCTAAAAGTCACTTTTCTAGGGCTTGTTTATGCTCACTTGTCTCTCATGGTGCAGCCTTAATTTAAATTTATGTGAGCTCTAGTTAAAACAGCTTTCTGTGCTGACAGAAAAACTGGGGCTGCTTTGCCTTTGTCTCTTTGTGTCACCTGGCATTTATCACTTAAAATGCCAACAAAAACTGCTTCATCTGGAAAACATTTTAAAACAAGCTTCTGAGTAAATATACCTTTTACCTTTCTAATAATCAGATATTTTTAAAACTTAAGCTTCTACGAGTATTGGATGTTCACAAGTTAACATAGCAATATAGGAAAAAGTTAAATCTACCTTAAGTTTTATAGTAGGTAAGATATTTCAAGGAAGGAAAAACTGTGAAAATATCTTCTCTGAATCTTCTAAATTTAATAGCCAAAACATTAGTCTCCAATGTTGCAACAGTTTTTCTGTGGAGGGTAGTTTGAAAGAACAGTGATTTAATGTTGATAGCTAATAGCTTTTCAGTTAAATTGTTGGCATTGCACCAAAATTAGTTCAGGACCCCTCTGTTTCAGTGCTTGGAGAAAGCTGACACTGCCGGAGACCCAGAAAGGAAGTAATACCCCCGTGTGACAGGGTCTTACAGGCTCTGCGGCATTCAAAAACATCATTTTTCTTCATTTTTCACCTTAATGTGGGTTCCTTTTTTTTTTTGCAGAGGCGTGTGATTTTTTTATTTTTTTTTTTTTAATACTGATGAGCTATATCACTGAATATTACAGTTTTAAACACAATGCCAGGTTTCTTATGTTTTCTCTATGAGATATGGAAGACTTGGGCACTGTAAGGAGGTAACAAACCTGTAGAGCTTCAGGTTGTGGTTTTTCCACCTTTTTCCTGCACGGACGCATTCCAGTGTTGTTATAGTAACTTCAGAGCATTTTGGGTCTTGCAGTTCGATCTGTCGCTTGCGTAGGACTGTTGCAGTGTCACTGAGCCCACTGTTAGGCAGGAGCGTGGGCTGGTTTGTCATGTGCAGAGATCTGTGCAAACTTTTTTCAGTGTTGAAAGGGGAAAGAAGGTGCTTATTTAAGGCTCTAATGTTTCATTTATGGAATAGAAACAAAGATTGTGTGGTCTTTAATCACCTCCCCCCTCCCAATGAAAAACTTTTCAGGATCGCTGTGGGATTATTAGATGGGGTGGTGAAGGGTGTGTCACTAGCGAAAGGGAGGTGAGATTTGGTACGAAGTTACTGTTTGGAGTAACTTCAAGTATGAGCGTTTTCCTAGTGTTTGTTCTGGAAATCCCTTGTGCAATGTCAGGAAACGATTAAGAAGATGAGTCCTGTATCATGCGATTCTGTCTTTAATCAATACCACTTTAAAAAAGTAAATCCTTTTTCCTCTAAAGATATCAAGGCTATTAAAACCAGAAGGCTGGACACTCCCCCTTGTGGTGTGCTAACTGAAGTTTCAGTTTAGGAAATGAGGGATTGTTTTTAAAAAGCACTGTGAAACTCCTACTTTTTCCTTCTCTCCTTTCTTTTTTTTTTTTTTTAAAACTTGAAACACTTGAGTGTGTTGATATACTTGTGATTTCAAGAGCTGTGCAATAATTTTATGGTTTGTTCCCATTCTCTTAAATGAAAAGTCTTAATGCGAATGCTCCAAGTAGGTTGCATTTCATAGTATGTGTATCCTGCCGCTTAAAACAAGCACTGTGATGTCTGTTGACTGAACTAATAATAGAATTCAAACAACTGAATTCCACAATACAGCTTGAGTCAGAATATTCCTTGTAATAAGAACCGGTCCCACAGCTGGTAATGGATTTCTTGTTAGATTTGGATGCTTTAAATAGTGACCTTCAATTACAAGGCGTTGTGTAATTTTTTTAAATTAATAGTAACTTGCAAAACGTTCTTGGAAGCTCTTGTGGTCTACCTGTGGACCTCCAAAGTCTAAAAGCTCCTGTGTAAATAGTATGTAGTCCAGGAGGAATGTTAAGTCTCCAATTTGTGCTTTCTCATCAGATACCTGGTATGGCCGCATCATCAACCCCTAAATATAATTCAAACTCCTTGGAGAGTTCCTCAAGTAAAAGGGTGAGTGCAAGTTTTTTCATGTTTTTTACATCAGAGGTCCAGAGATGATTATCTTCCCTATTTGGGTAGAAAAATGAGTATTTGAATGACTTTTTTCTTGAGTGTATGTACTTATTGCAGTTAACTGAGTTGATTTAAATGTCTTTCAGAGTGGATGGGCAAAACAGTCTATCACAAGTTATGAGAGCCTCCTTAAAATCAATTCTAATATACTTAGTTTTATCCTTGCTTTCTACATTGAAATATTCTGTGGCATTCTTGAAAATTTTTGGCGCTTTGATACTGCGGAAAGATTCTGTACTGCAATTGATAAGTTATACCTATTTATTTGCTGGCTCAGTTTTAAAATGTTCTTCTGTAGTGGGAAATACATTAAAGCAATCTAAATGGCATTCCCCTCTGCTTTCTGATGCTGTGTAGCTGAAGAAAATGTAACCTATGTGCAAGAAAACAGAAACTAAAGTATTATTTAGTATTTTAAGCATTTCAAAAAGAAAGTTTATTTTCTGTTAATAAAAACTGCTGAACATGGGAAAGGCACAAATGAGTAGATTGTGTGAGTACACTGCTTAAGGATTTTCAGTTGATTTGTTCTTCCAGGCCCAGCATACTTGGAAAATTAAATGCACAAAGCTTTCAGAGAACTTACAGTATAGAATTTTAATTCCAATATAATGCAAATAGAGTTAACTATTCTTTTAGAAGGAGAAAAGCTAAAATATGCTCATGTTTCAGATCTGTTCAGCCTTTAGTTTAGTAGTTTCAGTTTAGGATAGCGATGTGTTTTGGTTCAGTCTGTCAGTTTTTGCTGTGGAAAAACCTGTTCTTTCCCATGCAGAAATTCCCTTCAAGATTATTTTTTAGATATTGAACTTGAAGGAATTGTAAATACAATACGATGTGCTGTTGTACTTATCTTTCTTTAGGCTCTAAAAGATGGAACTAACTGGGAACAAAATGAAGAAATACCTCGTCTGCCAGGGGAGACTAGAGTTACAGGTATGAAGCTATATAGCTGCCTAATGCTATGTATGTTTAAGAGTCTGGCATATACGTGTATCTTACTGGATTGTTTCATAATTTGAACTGGTTTGGGGTGGGGGTATGTTATGCTAAAATGTCATGAATTTTTTTAAGTAATTGCAATAGGGACTTTCATCACTTGTCACAAATAACTTTTTAAATTGTGGTTTCCACACATGGCAGATCCTCCGATACAAAGAAATTGCAAGTCAAGGTGTGTCATAACTAATCTATGGACTAAGTAGCACGTGTCTAGTGATAAGAGCCCCTCCAAGCTTTCCGAAGTCAAGAGAATTAATTCTAAACCACCCACTATGTATTGATATCTAGTACAGTAGTGTGGAACCTTAGCCCAAACTGTGACTACCCCAAGTACGGTCTTATACTCCCTTGACACAACATGGCATGCATGTAGCTGCCATGCGCTTGTTAGCCTTCACATACCGTACTGTTGTGGTACAAGGAAGATCAGTGTATTGTGATCAATGGTTTCTTACTTGGAGGCTCCTCCTGGAATGGAGCCTTCTGCTCATGGACGTTTGTGTTGAGGTGTCAGAATGCAGCTGAAAGTGGTTTGGCTTTTATTTGTGGACCTTCTCCTTCCCCCCTGCCCAAAGATTTGTTAGGTGGGTTTGTAACCAAGATCGCCTGAGGTGAAACCAAAGTGGTGATTCAGAGGATGTAGTTATGTTTTAATGAGAAAAGTTGTAGGGAAGGCATGAGGGAGAAGGTGTGGGACTGAGACGAATGTTTGGTATGATCCGTATGAAAATTGTGCTTTGGGGCAGCACGCTGGAAGGAGGGTGCTTGCTGTGAAAGGCAGATAAATAGATTGGGCTAAAGAAATGAGTGGACAGGGAGAAGTAGGTGGTTTGTAGTCCTTCACTTAAGTCTTTAATGGCATTGCTTCAGTTAAATTTTTCTTTTTTGAGTAATATGTGTTAGTACTCGTTTTGTTACTGCCCTTGCTGAAGCACTGCTGATGGCCCTGCTGTAGTTGGTTGCTTCAAATTGAAATGTAATGTTTCTCTTCAGGCTGGTGAGTGCCCTAGTAACTTTACAACTTGAACTGTGTCCTTCAATGCAGAACTGGTTGCAGAGCACTGAAATTGTAATACTATCAACAGAAGAATGTATGTGTTCTGGGATAGCAAATAGATGGGTTCAGTAATCACAGAGAGGACTTAAATCTACTCATGGTTCTGTGTCCTGCCCGCTTGCATGTAGTGTTGAGAAAGTTACATTTGTGTTCTTCTCTAGGGAAGGCTACTGAAATCTGCTGATTTAATTTGGATGAGTTTAGTATATGAAACTTTCACACTTTCTTACTAATTCAAATGGACGACATTCAGAGTTGTTACTTTTTAAATTCATTCATCTCTCGGAGTGACTCTTACGAGTGCAGCTCTCTGTTTTACTGCTACTTAACTGATGCTGTCCTTAGCTCTGATTTTTTTTCTTTTCACAATCTTTAAGAAATGCTGCATTTCTTACAGACAAGGATGTTATTTATATGTGTCCATTTAATGGCCCTGTTAAAGGAAGAGTGTACATCACAAACTACAGGCTGTACCTAAGAAGCGTGGAAAATGTGAGTAATATGCCACAATTACTTCCGTGGGATGAGTTGGCTTTAAACCCCCTTCCCTTCACCTCCTCTACCCTTGATTTATTTTGTGGCAAATTTGTTTTAGTTTTGGCACACTTGTACTTGTGGAGTTGCATGGGAGGCTTTTCACTTGAAAAGGCCTGTAATGTTTGTAATAACCATATCTTAATTGTGTAATGACTAAATAGTAATTGCTTTTGTGCCACTGAGAAATCAGTATAAAAGTGGAAGGTCTTTAAAGTTAAATGTGTTGTAAAAGTGTGACACTTTTTGCCTGGTAAAATTACAGTTTAATCACTTAGGCTGGACTGCTACCTTTATCTTTTGTCTGTTGGAGCTTTTTTGATAGCTTTTCCCTTTACACTTACTCTGTGATAGATCAAAGGCAGCAGCTAATGATGTGCAATAGTTCTTAAAATGGCTATCAGTAAACCAAGATTTTGATTGTCCTTGCTGTTGGAAAAGAAAAATACTTTGATCAATAGAACCTCACGTGGGTGGGGGAAATAGCAGCAACATGAAAGAGAAATAAACGTGCTTGTTATCTGTTTCTTAATTTATTTATTTTTTTAAAAAATAAGTTTTTAGAACTATTGAACTATTTGTGGTTGCAGCTAACTCTACAAGTAATCTTTTTCATTTTGTTCTACTTTATTCTGTATATCAATAAAGCAGTCTTAGCAAGCAGAGGCAATCAGAAGTAGCAGAAGACATCTTTTATGGTGTTGCCACCTTTTTTCCCTGAATACTGTATTAGGCATGAAGTATTTTTACTGCATGTTAAATTGGGTGACAGGGTGTAGAGTGACTGTACTCTTATGTGGTAGTGACTACTTCATAACCTGTTGGGAAGGGAGATTCAGTCAAATGCTGAAACGTCCTTTTGCTTCCTACATGTGTTTCACGTCTGCTTTCTATTCTAGAATGCATAAGAACGTTTTGCTTGAGTCTTTAGATTAATCTCTTTCTTACTCAAACTTGCCTTGCAGGATCCAGTCGTGGTGTTGAATGTTCCATTGGGCGTAATTTCAAGGATTGAAAAAATGGGAGGAGCTTCCAGCAGAGGAGAGAACTCTTACGGATTAGATATAACCTGTAAAGTAAGACTTTCCAATAATTCAGTAGGAAATGAAATCTGGACGTTCCTTTCCTCACTGCTTATCTATTTATAGGACTGAAAAAACACATGTTCCTCACAACTGAGTTTGAAAAGAGCTTTTTGGAACTGGACAGGGAAATACCTTTTGTATAAAGGGCTGTTTAACTGTCCTCTCTGCATGCAAGGAGAGGGATTGGTCTTACTTTCTGAATCACTAATTGACAATTTTGCACGGTAGTCTTGGTTTAGGGCATTATTCCTGCATTTCTTCATTATTTCATTTGTTCTAAAAGTAATTTTTTTTTTTTATAGTGCTAAAATTTGAAGAACACCTCAGGTAGGGGGTTTGTAAGCTGTAAAGGCAGTGAAAAGCTTATATAACAGCTATCTCTATTTCCTTAGTCTCACAAAAAAAACATTACCATGAAAAAATATGGTCATAGGGGAGCTCCCAGTGGATAATTCAGGATCTTTTATTTGACCCATTAATGGAGCATGTATACACATTTGATTCTTAGTAGTTAACACACAGATTGCTTATTTTTTATGTTAGTGATGAGGAAATAGATAGGGACAATGTAGTCTAGACAGATTATTGCAAATTTTCATTTTGAAAACATAGAGTAGCTCCCATCCCGCGAACATTCAGTAGCCCATGAGACTCTTTAGTGAATCAGATGCAGTCATTTCTGATGGCTTTATGCCAAAGCAGCATGTGCACCACACAGAGCGTGGTACTGCTTCATTTGTAGAATTCTTATGCTCCATTGTATTTTATGGATTAAGAAATAAAAGTGAACATTCACAATGGTTTGAGGTGTGTTGCAAGCAGATTCTAAATCATGTTTAGTGTGTAATATAGCATTTGTACATCACATAAGAGTACCTTACTACTTTGGTTCGCTTAAAAGACAATGCCTTTGTTTTAGGACATGAGAAATTTACGGTTTGCATTAAAACAAGAAGGGCACAGTAGAAGAGATATATTTGAAGTCCTCACAAAATACGCTTTTCCCCAGTCACATAACTTGGTAAGTTACGTCATTTATACCATGGAGTTGTCTTAATGCAGAGTTTTTGCCAATTAACTTTTAACTGTAACTGTTTGACCTGCTAATGGACATCATGGCTGCTTAAAAAGAATAACCACAGAATCTGATGTCAGCATAAACTAAAGAGAATTAATGTTTTTAGCTTGTACACTTACAACGCTTACATCTATGTATTTGTAAAATTACGGATGGTCTATGCTGTACTTCAGGTAAACTACTGAGCACCTCCTGATCCATACCCATTTTATTGCTTGAAGACTGCAAGTTGTCCTAGCTTATTAGGAAATATAGTAATACATGCCTTATTTGATTTCTTGAAAATGTTAAACTATTAGGCAGCCTTCAAGGCAATGATAAATATGAATCACCAAAAGTTTAGCTTCAGGAACAGAAGACATGGTAAGATAACACTTGTTTTATTGATGGAACAGATGAAAAATGTAACAGGCAGCTAATACAATAATGAATTTACACAGTTTTATTTGAGGTAAAAAAAAAATATGGAAGGAATTGAGCGACAATGTTGTTAACTAACCTTTATCTTCTGTTTCTTTGAAATCTGTGTACTGTGCTTGGTGTGGATCATTTTGACAACCCTTTAGTAAATGCTTTATTTTGTCTTTTTATAAAATTAAGTTTACATTTTATTGAGGTGCTTTCATTTCGGATAATTTTGTAAGAGCTGTATTCACAAAATGTTGGAACTGAACTTTTTTCAGAGAATTCTTGAGTATATGAGGCTGCAGCAAGAATCTGATTTCTATCTCTGACATGTCAGTCAATGGACTGTATAAACATTTAATTCTTTAAAACGTTTTTGCAGAAATTTTGCATTCTGTATGCAAACAGTCTGTGTAATGAAAGCATAAGGAAAAAGAAATGCTTTTGCTTAGAATATTTTGTAGTGTTGATGAATACATCTTAAGAAATGAAATGAGATTTCTACATTTGCGTAGGTGTGAGGAGTTGTACTTGCAAAGAAAACTGTTGTGGAAGTGAGTGTATCTGTAAATGTACTGCTGGCATTTTATGCATCTTGCAGTAGAGAATGATTGAAAGCATAGCAGGGTATACGGACTTCGAAAGGGTGATGGAAAAGAGAGAGAAAGCTATATGTAGAAATATCAAATTATAGAGAAGTTTAGGTCAAAAGGGGCTCCTGGACATCATCTGGTCCAGGCTCCAGTTGCAAGTAAGGCCTTAGATTGTTATCCCGGGCATGGTGAAGCCTACTCTTCAATATTTCCTGCGAGGCAGATTCCCTCATGTTGCTGCATGGTGAACCAGATCAGGAACTGAGAGGCACTAAAGCTAAACAAGGAAAAAAAAAATAAAAGCTTTACCCTGAGTCATTTCCTCAATCTTGTTAGCCCGATGCGAGGGTGGACTCAGGGCATCTACGGGTGGGTGTGAATGAAGAGGAATGGTGGGTCTGCCTCTTTCAGTGGCTGGTTTAGAACAAGGTTTCACTGTCTGAATATAACTGTAGGTCTGGGCTGTGCGTGCCGGCCTTCTCCTCTGAACATATGCTGACACTCTGACCATGCAGCCAGCTCAGTCAGGGACATCTTTTGTAAAGAATATGTTACGGCTTTGTATGACAGCTGGGTGAAGATGGCAGCCCTCTGCTACTCAAACACCGAGCTCCTGCTTTTCTCTGGTCTCCTTCTCTCTACCTTCCAGCCATGTGGTTGATTATTCCTCTTATACCAAACTGACAGTTGTATAATTGCCAAGTAAGCCAATGTAGCTCAATTATCCAGCACAAAATCTTATGTTTTCTGAATTAGTTGTGTGCCACTTTTAGTAATTTGAGATCTGGTTTGAAATCGGTGTGCACCAGAGCCAGTGCAAGAGAGGGCAGGTGAGTGGAACAGGGAGCAGGCAGGAGAGAAAAAGAGGGCTGCCCCCTTTTTAGCAGTGTTAAACTGGTAATTTTGCTCAGACCACCTTGTGAACTGCCTCCTTGATCTTCAGCTAGTTCAGCAACACTGATGGTTGTGCAGCTCTGCAGTGGAAAGAAGGCATCATCAGGACAATAAAGGCCTAAATCATTCCTGTCCTGATTTTTATCTGTATTTTTATATTTTATGTCAGATTTTTATCTGGCTGATTTTTAGCTGTAGTGAAACTTAGAGCTAAACAAGAACTTTTAGAGATGCCTTGCTTCCATTTTCTTCATGCTGTGCCATTCTCAGACAAATGGATGGTAAGTACAGCCCAAAACATTACTTCTGAGTGGAGCGTACTTAATTGCTTTCAAGATTTTTCTCCATCGCCATCCCAACAGCAGTGTTTGAGAGCCTGTGGTCTGGTTGCAACTGTTGGACAGTGTCTCAGCATTGTCCTATGTGCTTACTTCCAGAAGCTGATTCTTGTGTCTCTCCTGTTTGAGCATAGGTTGGGTTCAGATCTCTTTGAATCAATAACATGATGTGAAATCTGATAGCTTATCTGACTGACGGCTTTGTTGATATAGAACAAACAGCTGCTCTCCATAATCCTCTGTTGCATTTGCAAACTTGTGGTAATTGAAAGAAAATTGTTGCTGGAAGGTTTTTAAGACTTTTTTTTTTTTTTAAAAAAAAGAAACCAACCCCCCCCAAATTGACTGTTTGTAGTACCCCACAGAAGATGAGATATATTTAGTCTCTGTAGTTTAGTTTCTGCATAGCAGCTGCTTCACTTCCTGATCTTATCTTGAAACTACACATCATCATTTTTATAAGATTATTCGCCACCATAATACCTGCATGATACGTATTTATTTCTAACCATAATAGCTTTGTGGGAATGCCAGTTTTGATGAGAGACACTGGTAGTCATGCTGTCTGACTTTGACCTCTCCCACTCCTGATGTAGCTAGTTATCCTGGCAATTTAAAATGTCTGAGAGTCAGGTTGTGCCAGTGTTGCTATTGCATCTACAAAGATGATTTTAGGTGGCGGTGAGGCCTGGCATAGGTGCCTATCTCATGGAGCATTTGATTTTGCAAAAAACATCTTGACTTGAGGCTTCATTCTGAATGATTTATGTCAGTCTCAGTGCAGTAATGCTGTAAGGTTACCATATTTGCTAGTGATCAGAAGTTAATTGTGTAAATACTGCAATGTTTGCCCTTAGTTTTTAGATGAACAGGTAAGATGTAACTGGCTGAGATGTAGTAATGGCATATTGAAGGCAAGGATAATGATATCGTTATTTTTAAACACACTGAGAAACTGACAGCCTTTTCACGGAGTAAAAGCTTAGTGATTTATGATATATGAAAAGCATAAACCAATAAGTTAGAAACAGAAAAAAACAATTGACTTTCTTTGCATGTGTGTAACACCTTGTTCTAGTTTTGATGCTTGCTTCTTTTGTAATGCATAAAGATTGGTCAAATATTTAACAGATTGTATATATGTTATATACTCATGTGCAAGTAGAATGTATTTATGTACTGAATCCATAGAGTAAATATGTAACTATTTGTAAACAGACTGCTTGCCAAAATGTATTGTCAGATTGCAGCTGCTCTCTCCTTTATCTTGCAGAACTACATTGTGTTGTGAGCAACCAGCGTATCACATATTATTTTTGTGTGCAAAATGGAAATGATAAATTGAATGTTGAAGGCAAGCACTGAGTCTGTAGGAGGACTGAAAAAGAGGCTGTGTTGAAATTACGGGTTAGCACCTGCAAGGAAATAAACAGAATTATTTGCACGGTGAAGCATAAAAAGTATCTTACCAAAAATGTTACAAGATTTGAAAGCCTTTTTTAAAGTGAAGTAGTAGAGTTCTGCTTTAAGTGAACCAGGAGTCATCATCTTTTAAAAGACTATGGATCTGCAGTGAAATCCCTACTTCCATTCTATGCAGAGAGGCTTTTGCAAAAATCTTAACTGATGTGTTGTAAGTCTTACTTGGTTTTTACCAACTACAATTATTGATAAGTCACAAGGCTTGCACCCCATAAGTTTTGTCACTGGTGGCTTACTATATTTTTTTATTTCTTGTCTCTTTGATGCATTCCTTGTTTTCTTCTTTCTGTTTCCCATGGCAGCTGAAAAGAAAATTGAAACTGCTTTTTAATTAGTTGCTAGACTAAAAGGAATTGATAGGCTTCCATCAGGCATGTAGCACTGATCTCCATCAAACTTAGAACAGATATGGTTGATATATTGGAAGTGATTGCAAACTATTCCTCTTTGAACCCAAGATCTGAGATAAAACTAATAATCAGTATAACTTAAGGTAAATCTATGCTTTATTCAAGTGGCTTTCAGCTAGCTGGTCTTAGCACTGAGAGGAGGGAGGCCAGCTCAGGCTCGCTGCCTGAAACACTGATTTATTGAGCAGGTAGTCAACCTGAAACTTGTACTGTTGCTTGTACTTAGCATCCAGCCAAATGAGTCTAGAGTTGGCTCAGGTATACCTGTACAAAGCACAGGTATGCTTTCTGAGTATATGTTCATGATTTTAAAAAGCCTGTTCGTGATCTAAAAATACCCCAAACCCCTAAAAAAACCCCAAACAAACAAAAACCAACACAAAAAACCCAAACCACACTTTTATGTTGCTGCAATATTGTTCTGAACCAGAATGTCTCTTGAGTCTAGGTTTTATTTTTTTTAAATTTCCAACCATTTTGTCAAATCCGAACACATCTAATGAAGCTGCACTTGATTTAATTCCTGGGAAAATAGGCTGGGTGCAATAGGAGCTGTGGAAAAGTGCTTATTCTTGGAGAGGCAGGATTAATGATGAGAGAAGGGGATGGAATTTTGTGTATGGAGATCAGGGTGGAGGCTCAGAGTACCTAAAATACTGTTTGGGGAGAAGGAGGGTTTAGCAGGGATATAACCATAGATGTGGAGTGAAAGATGTGTGAAGAAGGCACAGAGCAGAACTGGCCAACTGTTTATTGTGCTCTAGTATTTGAACAGCTTGCCTGTGTGCGGAATGATGCACTGAGAGAGGCTGGCAGGGCTTTTCTGTTTTGTGGGGTCATGCGGTTCCTGTAGCTGGCCATAGAGCTTGCTTCTCCAGCCTTCCTCTGGCCTCCGCACTCTGAAGGCTATAAATACACACCCAGCTGGTCCATCATAAATGCCTGTGGGCAGTGAAGTGACTTCCCTGTTTTCATCCTGACACGAGAGGGGTGTGTGTGTGGGAGGGGCACTAATGTGAAGGAGCCTGTATCTACAAAAAGCTAAGCCATGTATTTTTACTAAGATAGTACCTCTCAAATCTTACGTCAAAAGATACGAGAACCTATGCAGAATATATGGTAAATGACGTAATTTCTTTCTGTCCCATTTGCCTGCTGCACTGTAGAGTTACATTCAGATTACGTGCACTGTGATGTGAAAGCTTCAGCAATGTTAAGTTAATCGAGACATACAGATACAAACATACAGCGTTTAATCTGTAAGCTTGGGTTATGTAGGACAAAAATGGAAATATGTGGGTCATTTGTGCAGATGTGAAGCTTACCTGAATGATAACAAACCCTTCTGTGATCTAAATATGTATTTATCACAGTGATTTGTTCGCTGTAATGGGGTTTGTTGATTTGATGCATCAGAATAATAAAAGGTCCGATTCCACAGAAGATGTTGTTCCGTATAAATTACGTCACATTGCTCATTATCACATTTTGTTTCTAGTAAATAAAAGTAATGCACAAATGTGTGCTAAATGTGGCTTGTACTGACACAAGTAAGAAAATACAGTTGTATCCAGGCATATATCTTATGTTTGCTTGAGTGGATGATTTTTGGTATTAAAATGGCTATAAATGTGGGTTGCTTGTTACGCTGTAGTTTGAAATTATGTGGAACTGTATGGAGTTAGTGTAAATGTATGCAGAGTTTTAAATGCACGTTCTCCTACTCTGACTTTTCTGCTGTGTCATGTTGGAATGTAGAGAGATATACAAATTTTACCTTTATCTAATGAGCTGCTTAAGTGGATATGAATGTATGAAAGTCTTATGTTGAGAAATTACTTTTAACTGTATATTGTTGAATGGAACCGTGCTATGATTGTCAGGGTGGGAAAGGAAGCATTTTTACTCTTTAAAACTGCTTTATATATTGTTTTGTTTATTTTGTTGTGAGAGACGGGCCTAAGGTAGGGTAGGGATGTTGCTGTATTTCAGACTGTAGCATTTAGCCTGGACTAAAGTTCAGGCCATCTTCACAGAGTATTTCAAGACTTGAAATGTAAGGTCTTAAGTGAGAGGCTGTTGGGGGTGGTGGGGGCAGGATTCCAATCTTCAGTCTCTTTTGTACAGTGAGTAAGACTTTCAGTAGTAACCAGATTAATTATACAGTCAGTACACAGTACACACATAAATGTGCATATATAAATTTTTGTTATAATTCAGTTAACTCTTGCAGAAGAAAAATAATTTTTAGTCTTCAGGTTTGTAGATACTGTTCATTTTTTAAATACTGCTCTTGTTGGAGAATACTTAAAGAGTTTTCTCTGAATTGCTGATATAAAAATCTAAGCACAAACTTTGCTCAGTACACCTTTGCATTCTTGTAGTGTTCTGTTATTTGTTAGACTTCAGATTTTTGCTGGTTGATCCATGCTACTGATCTTTTTTTTTTTTCTTGAGCAATACGGGAAGAATTTGCACTACCTGGAATGTCAACAGAATTGATGAAGCTTAATTGTCAACTTTAATAGTTGTGGTTGTGTGACTGAAAGCTTTTGTGGCAGATGTGGTAAAGCTGCTGTAGCTAAGCTTTTTAAATGAAACTTCTTGCACATAGGACACTGTTCTTTCAGAAAGACTTCTGTCCATCACCTCCTCGTGCATAGTAAATTTAACCCTGGTTTTAAAAGGTGAAAACACTTTTTCATCTGATTTCTTGTGGATTATTTTGTGGGTGACATGAGCAGCATAGCTGCTGTTTGTTTATTTCTAGTTTGGAGCAGCACCTTCTTTATTTTTATTAGTAAAATCTATGTAACAGCTATCACAGTGCACTGTACTAAACATATATTTTACTTATCGGGCTTAAGCTGGGTAATTTTTCAGTTCTAACCAGAAACCTGGAGTAAGTAGCAACTTAAATTACATATTCCTGCCTTTGAGACATCTTTTAAGTGATCTGTTAGGATTCCAGTGTTTCTGTTTCCAACTGTTAGAAGGTTCTCCTTTGTCTCTGGCTCCTTGGTGAATTCCTAGCATAGCTGCTCGTTGGGATATAGCAAATTCCTTTGGGGAGGAGGGGATGGTTCTCCTGTGTAGCTGTTTATTAATAGTTCAGCAAATCAGTTGCATCTACTGCTTTAGATAGTGATATTCCTGTTTTGCTGTATTCCTGGTTTGCAATTAAAACGAAAAACCTTTTTCAGCTTTTCTGCTTAACTTCTGATATTTGCATCTGATTCTAATGGAATTTTTTTTTTCTGGTAAGTTAATGTTCACCTCTTTCCTTTTCCTTTCTTCATCTCTCCCTCTATCCCACTTGACAGCAGTTTACTTAGTCAAAAGAATCTGTAATGTTACTTACACTGAAGGCCTACCCCTTTAAAAATGATGAAGACATTCAGAAAACACAACTTGGGAATGTATTGTTTATCTCTGCAAACTTGCCAATGAATGTACTTGCTCTAAAATACTGATGTAATTTGAAATGCTAGTTTCTAAAACGAGTGGGATAAAGTATCTTGTGTGAGCAGTAAAATCCCTTTAAAATACTTGTTGGTTTGAAATACTTGAGGAAAATATGTCTCCTTTTTTGGAGGGATTCAGTTCTGTGTTTTGATTAGAGCTGTTTACTGTTTAAACCATTGTAACACATTAGGCTAAACAGAATTGCCTTGAGCCATTAGGGTCTGCCTTCCTGCAGATCTGAAGAAACCTCCATGTGGCCTATGGTGCACTTACGAAGCATTGCCTTACCTCTGCAGATGTAATCGTGGCACCTTAGAACCACAGGGTTTTTTCTTGCTTACCAGGTTTTCTGCATTTCTGCTTAGTTCAGGTCTACACCTGTGACAATGGTGCAGATTTGGGATGTTCAGTTCAGCATTCAATTTCTTCTTTTAAGGTCTTTGAATAGGTAGGAGACTTTCAGCTTTGTCGTTACAAGTGAGCTATGATGGGCTCTTGAATGCTTTCTGCTCGGGCTGCTGTTGCTCAGTTAGCTCAGGACAACACATTCTCTTCTGTGCTTTCTTTTTTTTTTTAAAAAAAAAACAACTTAGTTTCATGCTCTAGTTGGCATCTGAAGAATTCATAAGCCACCAAAATCAATTTTCTCAATGAAGATTCTTAAAATAAACATTACTTTTACTTTCATCATAAACTGTAAAAGCAAACCAAGGAAAAAAAGGGTTAGTTAGGTAATACGCCCACGTGGAATTGGATGAAAGGAGAACCTAAAAGGTACGAGGAAGTTGTCAGAATCCTGAGTGAGGATGCTGTGTTGCATAAGTCTTAAGAGTGAGCAACAAAGCAAGAGAAAAGTAGATAGTGTAACTTGCTAGCAACACATTTTGTTTCATTTCCAGTGGCAACTTTTTAATTTTCATGAAGTTCTACAGTAAACTGGATTTCTCTTAGTAAAGATCAGTTGGGGAGGGGGTGCAGAAAGAAGGCTGCTTGCTAACGGCAATGAATAACAACTAAAACCTTTTTTGCACTTTCAACTTAGTGACTAATATTTTATGTAGTAATTGCAGTGGTAGCTACTGGAGAAATTTCTGTGAGAAAACAGTAGTTTATTTGGTGAGGATGTGGAATATGGGAAATAAACTGATATGAACTATTTAAAAACATTTCAACCTTCTGGCAATAAAAAAATCCAACACTTTAAGCTTTCTAATTTTTATTATTTTAGCACTTCTTATTTTAACTGTTGTCACATTTTCATTATTTCCTTAGGAGATCTGTATTTGTTACTTCTTGCTCCTTGCTTTGCCGTCTTACAAATACCAGATGTAAATGAAGAGAATGAGGCTGGCATGGAAAAGTCATTTTGTGGCGGGCTTTAGGGTATAACTGATAAGGAGCCCTCATGTTTGCCCCTTTCAGTCCGTTTGGTGTAATAAGCTTCTTTTACATCCTACAGCTTTTTTTCGCATTTGCAAATGAAGAAAAGTTTTCCGAAAATGGGTGGATGGTGTACAATCCGATGTCTGAATACAGGAGACAAGTGAGTTATTAAAGTTACAGTTGCCTGGTGCTTTCGTATCTGACAGCTTACATAGAGGAATTGTTGTTTGTACATTTTTCTTACCGGCTTTTTTGTGGGGGAGCTGAGAATGGGAGAAGATGAAAATACAACTTGAAAAAAAGTAAAGAAATAAATTGGAACCTTTAAAAAAATTAGACTGTCCCAGGAAGGTAGTCTTTGCTCTTTGAAGGAAGCTGTTGACACCTCTTACTGTTAAATGAGCAGAGGGTGGGGACAATGCGCCAAATATGTAGCTACAGTGTCCTAAATACAGGTTTGATTTGATCTTTGATTTGGTCTGCTTCTTCCTGAAGTGAAGTGGGGAAAAAAAGCAGCTTATTTTAGAAACAACGTTGCTTTACAGAACTTATTTATATGTTTATCAGTATTCTACCTTGCTCTTTAGGTGTTTCTGGAAAAATGTCAATGAAAGAGGATGATGTATTTAATTTTAAGATGTCTTTTAGAGAATTTTATTTTTGCTTTAAATATAACATTAAAAAAAAGCCAAAACCCTAAGTAGCAACCAAATAAGGACTTCCTTTGGTTTGTGTTTTTTTTTTTTTCCCCTCCATGGTTTTTTGGTACAAGGTTTAGAGGCCTAAGACCCAAAAAAGGTAAAAGACAAACACCCACACAAACCCCACTGTGTGTGTGTGGAGGGCTTATCAGTCTTTCTCAATTTCCTGGCTGCTGTTTGTGAAATGCCTTACTGAACAGACTGCAACTAAAAATTGTTGTTTCTCAATAAAAAAGCTACCCTGAATCTTATTTTCAACCTGGAGGTAGTATCAGGCTACAGGGAAGAAAGGTTGAAGTGAGACTTCCTCCTGCTCAGCACCATAGTTCCTTTTCAGCAGGCAAAATAGAAAGGCAGAGCTTTGAGGGAGAAAGCTATTTTCTTTGCTCAATCCTGCAGCTGAAGCAATACATCTGGTAGTTTTATTCATTGTTTTGAAACTCATCATAATAGAATTGTGTGTATGAGGTAGCTGTGCAGTTGTTTAAGGCTGTGAATCCATCAGCCATGAGTTGTTCTGTGTGGACTTCTAATCTTTTTTTCTTCTATTGTTTTGAAATAGCACTGTAGTTAGATTAAATTGGTAAGTTGTTGCCACCATGTGGCCATAATGTCATGTAAAATTCAAGAGCAGAATTATTATTTGTACAGCCAAAAATACGTTGAAAAACTTTCTGTTACATTTTAGGGACTGCCTAATGAACGGTGGCGAGTAACTTTTATTAATGAACATTATGGGCTGTGTGACACATATCCATCGCTCTTAGTAGTGCCGTATAATGCAACAGATGACGATCTCAAGAAAGTTGCTGCCTTTAGGTCCCGAAATAGAATCCCGGTGAGTATTATGTGATGAAAGTTACCTTATAGTGTAGCTAGTTTTAAATACAAATCCAAACAACTCTTTGCTGAACATGAAACAGGGGATGCTTTTTTTGGAAACGGTTGCAGCAAAATAGTTTTGATTGGCTGGCTGTTTTTACTGCTTGAAACTAATGTCTTGGCCAAGCCACGTTTCCCTTTTCCCCCCACAACAATCACCCATTCAAACTTCGTTGGGTTTAGCTTGACTTTGCTAGCAACAGCTGCCAGCATTGCAGATTCACTTTTCTTAATGAAGTATGAGCCTTCAACTGCCATATGTACTAGTTTGGCTATTGTTGGATGCACCTAAAAAGTGATCGCAAATGTTAGCCTCGTAAGTAAACTGCTTGGCATTTAAACGTTGTTCCTGTGGTCAGTCCTAAAGTAAGACCTCATGCATAGTCTTTGTAGGGAATTCTTGGGCTTTTTAGTCCTTTAAATTGGGCTGTGGAATTTAAGATAAACCCATTTGACTTTTTGGGTGCATTTCTGTAACTAAAAGTCTTTGAGAATTTTTATGTATCAGCTCTTTACAGCACTACAGAAAATATTACTTTCTATCACAATGCAATGTGTTTTAACTAATATTTCAATTTGCAAACTTAGAAGAGGTTCTAGATTCTTAGCCAATATCAGAAAACTGCCTTGAATCTCAGTTAATTTCAAACACATATGAAACTCGATAAGATAAATATTTATTAGGTATGGTATTTACTGACGGGCTAGGCCTATAATTACAAATTTACTATATATACACACACATGTGTATAAAATATATATGTGAAATATATAGAGTGTGCATAGAGTTCTTACAACATACCTGTATCTTCTCTGTCATTCCAAAATTCATGACAGGGCTTTTTGTATGCCTGTACAGTGAGAGTCAATTCCTTGGTGATAGTAATTTTATTCTTGTCAGGAAATAACTAATCATACTCACCCCCACACACGCTGACAGGTCTTGTTTCTAGATATACAACTAAGGATTGTATTTCAGAGTGAATACTTTCTGAGGAATTTTTTTTTAAATCTTTCACTCTAACACACAACTTTCAGACTGGGTGACAATACTGTTTCTTAATATTGTTCAATGATGTTGTAGTTTTTTTGTCTGCTTCTTAGGGTACTTATCTTTATTCTCTTGCCCTGCAATCTCTTCCCTGGGCAGCTCGCTATCTCTTGTTTGTGGTAAGTTCCCTGTGGCTCAGAAAAACAACAAAGTCAACATGCACTCTGCTCCAGTGCTGCCTCTTTGTAAAGAGGGCTGCGGAACAAACTGTACTTTAAAGAGAAAGGGAAACATTCAAGATACTGCAGAAAAGTTCAACTTTCCTTCCTTATCGAAAAAAGGGAAGAGTTGTGTTTGTAGAATTGGAGCATCCTAGTCACCGTTTCTACAATGAGTTCATTCTTCTGAATTGTTCCTCAGTTTCAGCAGGCATTGCTATATTTGTTTCCAGTTTGCTTTTCAGAATTATTTTATAGAATCACAGAACGGTTTGGGTTGGA